GCTGTAACCCCACCAACAGGCAAAAAGTCCCTATGGCTAGGGGAACTTGGGACCACAAGCCACCAAAGAGACAAAACCTTTCCTCCTGGCAGGGGCGCAGCTTCTGCCCCCTTTACTTCATCCTGCTTGGCCCCTGGAGGATGGCTGGATAGTCAATGACGGATAAGATTCCTCAAGAAAGGAACAACCTAAGATAGGCATTCACAAAGGAGCCATCAGGGAAGGACTTAAGAGATTGTGGATAAAGGACAAAAAACCCTCACCTCTCGGCTTTATCATAGCCTGAGTTCTCATTCTATCTGTAGAAGTCTCCTAATCTCTTGGCTGCCTGGCTTCCCCCACCTGATTCAGGCCTGAAACAATGCCAAAGGGAGATGCAGCCCTGTGCTGGAACTGGCGGTTCCTGGAGGGGAGCAATCAAGTCTAAGAAAGAATGCATAAAGTTCTGTGAAAACCGCTTTGCTAAGAATGTCCTCATTTTAAATGTTAAGTATCTGAGCACAAAGTAAGTTTGTTTGGCATCACCCTGTCTACCAGACCCTAATTCAAAAGGCCCTCTGTGATCCCAGAAATGTTATCTGTAAACCATACCTGCTTTCTTTAATATGCATCCCTATGCAAGCTAAACTCAGTAAAAGCCCACTGAGACAGAGGTGAAATGCCTCAGAGAGACTGGAGAGCCTTTCCTCCCCAAGCAGATCATTTCTTGGTAGATTTATTCTCATCCATGGCAGCCAGGGGGAGCTCTGTGGGTGGAGCCGCCCCCCTGCCCCCCCCCCCCCCCCCACAACTTAATACCTAGACTAACACTGGGAGGCTGCCAAAATGAGGAAGCAAAGAAATATGGCCCAAGTGAAAGAACAGAACAAAAGTTTAGAAAAGAATTAAACGGAATGGAGATAAGCCAGCTATCAGATGCAGAGTTTAGAGCACTGGTTATAAGGATCTCAAGAAACACAGTGGGTAGTACTTCAACAGCTTTAAATGATCCAATAAAAAATGAGGATTGAAATAAAGAACAATTTACAGGGAATCAAGAGTGGAGTGCATGAAGCTGAGAATCAAATCAGTGATTCAGATCATAAGAAAGCAAAAGACACCCAAGGAGAACAGCAAGTAGAAAAAAGAATCCCCAAAAATGAGCAGAGTGTAAGGGGCCTCTAGGACATCTTCCAGCATACCAACATTCACATCATAAGGGTACCAGAGGAAGAGAAAGGCAAGAAATTGGAAATTATTTAAAAAAACAAATAAAAGAAAACTTCCTAATTTGGTAAAGAAAATAGACATAGAAGTCCAGGAAGCACAGAGTCCCAAACAAGACAGACAAAAGAGGACCACACCAAGACAAATCATAATTAAATTGCCAAAGATTAAAGATAAAGAGACAATCTCAAAAGCGCCAAGAGAATCTTACCTACAGGGGAGCTCCCATAAGACTGTTCCCTGACTTCTCAAAAGAAACTGCAGACTAGAAAGGACTGGCACAAAGTATTTTTTAAAAGAGTTTATTTATTTATTTTTAGAGAGGGGAAGGCAGGGAGAAAGAGAGGAGACAAACATCATGTGCCTACTACTGGGGAACTGGCCCACAACCCAGGTATGTGCCCTGACTGGGAATTGAACCAGTGACCCTTGGTTCACAGGTTGATGCTTAATCCACTGAGCCACACCAGACAGGGCTGGCAAAAAGTATTTAAAATAATGAAAAGCAAGGACCTACTAACTACTACCCATACTTTATCCAGCAAAGCTATTATTTAGAGTCAAAAGGCAGATAAAATGCTTCACAAACAAGGTAAAGCTAAAGGAGTTCATGACCAAGCTATTATATGAATTTTTTAAATTATATTTTATTGATTATGCTAATACAGTTGTCCTAGTGTTCCTCCTCTGTCCCCCCTCCACCCAGAACCCCCCATATGAAATGTTAAAGGGATTTATTTAGGAAAAAAAGGTCAAAATTATGAACATTAAAATGGTAATGTAAAATGGGAGGGAGGTGGGGAGCAAGGGGCGGGGGAGGCTGGGATGGGAAAAATAGACAAAAAACTGTACTTGAAAAATAACTAAATAATTTTTTTTAAAATGGTAATGTATACATAACTATCAATAATTGAATCTAGGACTTCCGGCCAAGATGGAGGCGTAGGTGGAAACATTGTGCCTCCTGACACAGCCAAGTTTAAAGACAACAAAGTTTTAGTAACAAAAATGCAACCAAAACACAGAAAAACTGAACTGTACAGAAATCTGACAACAATAAACCATTCAGCCAGACCGGTAAGAGGGGCGGAGTCAGCGGCTGGTGGAGCTGAGTCCGACAGGCAAAACCGGCCTGACCAGCCTGACCGACCCAGGAGCGCAGGTGGCAGTTGGCGGATCCCAGGTGTGGGGTGCCAGCAGGCAGACCCAGTGAGGGCTCAAGGCAGCAAGCAGGCTGACCGAGGTCACACATTTGCGCGCAGATAAACCAGGTGAAGAAGCAGGCAGTGGCACAGACCGCACAGGCTAGGGCCCCAGTGCCAGGAGTTAAAGCCTGAAAGCACCAATTGGAAAAACTTTTGGGGTCAAGGTGCCAGGAGAAGCTCCCAGGCTCACAGAGAGTTTGTTGGAGAGACCCACAGGGGCCTGGAGGGTGCACAGGCCCACACACCTGGAAGCCAGCACCAGGGGGGCCCCCCGGTTTGCTTGTGGGAAGCAGCAGAGGGGACTGAAATCCAAGGGAGAGTGGAACAAATGCCATTGCCCCTCTCTGACCCCGCCCCCACATACAGCGTCACAACCCAGCGACTTGGGTGGCCCCACCCGGGTGAACACCTAAGGCTCCGCCCCTCATACGTAATAGGCACGACCTGACCAAAACATTATGCTCAAGCAGAAAAAAAGCTCAAAGGCCCAGAGCCAGTACTTTTAAGCGACCAAGAAATAGCCAACCTATCAGATGCATATAGTTCAAAACACTGGTGATCAGGATGCTCACAGAACTGGTTGATTTTAGTCACAAATTAGAGGAACAAATGAAGGATAAACTAAGTGAAATGAAGGGAAATGCACAGGAAATCAATAGTGATGGGAAGGAAACTGGGACTCAAATCAATGGAGTGGACCAGAAGAAAGCAAATAATGGCCAAACAGAAAAGAATGAAGAATTCAAAAAAATGAGGAGAGGCTTAGGAACCTCCAGGACATCTTTAAACACTCCAACGTCCGAATTATAGAAGTACCAGAAGGGGAAGAAGAAGAAAAAGAAGTAGAAACCTTATTTTAACAAATAATAAAGGAGAATTTCCCCAATCTGGCAAAGGAAATAGACTTCCAGGTAATCCAGGAAGCTCAGAGACTCCCAAAGAAGTTGGACCCAAGAAGGAACACACCAAAGCACATCATAATTACATTAGCCAAGATTAAAATGAAGGAGAGAATCCTAGAAGCAGCAAGAGCTAAGGGGACAGTCACCTACAAAGGAGTTCCCATCAGACTGTCAGCGGATTTCTCAAAAGAGACCTTACAGGCAAGAAGGGGCTGGAAAGAAGTATTCCAAGTCATGAAATCCAAAGACTTACAACCAAGATTGATCTATCCAGCCAACCTTTCATTTAGAATGGAAGGACAGATAAAGTGCTTCTCAGATAAGGTCAAGTTCAAGGAGTTCATCATCACCAAGTCATTATTATATGAAATGTTAAAGGGACTTATCTAAGAAAAAGAATAAATAATAACAGTGAAAGGACAGCAAACTCACAGTTATTAACAACTACACCTAAAACAAAAGCAATCTAGGAGCACAGCTAGATCATGAGCAGAACCATAGAAATGGAGATCACATGGAGGGTTAGCAACAGGGGAGTGGGAGGAGAAAAAGGGGGTAGAAGGTACAAAGAATAAGTAGCATAGACGGTAGGTAGAAAATAGACAGGGGGAGGGCAAGAATAGTATGGGAAATAGAGAATCTAAAGAACTTGTGACACATGAACATAAACATAAACCAAAGGGGGGGTATGGTGGGGGAGGGGGTGTGCAGGGTGGAGGGGAATGAAGAGGGGGAATGGAACAACTCTAATGGCATAATGAATAAAATATATTTTTAAAAGAATAATTGAATCTAAAACAAAACTAAGCAAACAGGAACAGAGACAGAATCATGGATATGGGGAGCATTTTGGAGGGTTGCTGGGGGCAGGGGTTTTGGCGAAAAGGGAAAGAGATTAAGAAATACAAATTGGTAGCTACGGAATAGGTAGGAGGATGTTAAGAACAGTATAGGAAATGGAGTTGCCAAAGAACTTATATGTATGACCTATGGACATGAACTAAGGTGGAGTGGGGGGACTGCCAGAGTGAGGGCTGGTGCTGCGTGGAGGAGGGCAAAGGGGGAAAATTGGGACTACAGTTATAGCACAACCAATAAAGTATAATAATAATTTTAAAAGCCTGCTGTGTCCTAGCCAGGTGGCTCAAATAGTAGGAGCATGATCCCACACACAAAAGGTTGTGGGTTTGGTTTTTGGCCAACATACTTCCCTTCACTGCAGTTTCTATCCCCGGTCAAGGTACATACTGGACAGAATCGATGAATGTTTCTCTTTCTCTCCCTTCCTACTTAAAAAATTTAAAAAATATAATAAACATATCCTTGGGAGAGGATTACGAAAAATAATAAATAGCATGTTGTTCTGAAGCACAGGTAACAACTGGACTTGCAACTGGTATCCAAATGGTGGGGGCCTGAGCCCTGAACCTGTCTTTGGGTAGATAGCCTCAAAGTTGTGTTTTTTCCCTAATTAGCAACAAGGAAAGACCTTCCGTCGATGTAGCAGCAACGCTTCACAGCATCCTTCCAGTGGCAAACATTCCAGTGATTTAGGGTGAAGAATCCCTACCCTTAGAACTATGCGAACTACATTACCCATAAAACTCTGTGTTGAGTTGAGCCAATGGCAGATCAACAAGAAAGCATTTTCCTGAGATCCATCGACGTAGGGTGGGACTTCTGGCATCTTTGTCCAGGCAACAATTCTTGCTGCCATTCCTGTGAGTGTATTTTACCTTCAGGTGGCTGTGTCGGTCGGTCCGGAGGTGACAAAACGGAGAAAGCGTGAAAGAGACGTGGTCCTCTCCGCACAGCCGCGGAATGACGCTCAGAAACACCGCCACCGTGTGACCTGCGCCCGGGCCCCTGCAAGGACGTCTGTGCTAGGACGCTCTCTCCCGCTGTTCCCGCTGGGCTTGCCCACCGAGTGCTATGGCGGCGGCTCCGGGAAGGCGCCTGGCTGCTGTGAGTGCGCGTTCCGGGCCCTACCCCCTCACCTCCCCGAGCCCTGCAGCCTGGGCTGCGCGTTCAGCACGCTCAGCAGCTCACGCGTGTCGGTGGTGGAATGAATGTAGGTCCTCCTGGCAATGCTAATTGGTCCGAAAGAACAGGCTCCAGAATAAGGGTTTTTTTTTTCCCCTTGCTCTGCCCCTGATGAGAGCCCTTCGCACAGAAATACAAGGAGGGTGGTGGTCACCGTAACAGTGTGGCAGGTGAGGAAGGCTTCGATGGGACGAGTGGACGTGATGGTTCTGGGGACAGAGAAGTAACTGAGATGACTTGACACTGAGGGCAAAGCTGCTGCTTGTTCGCTAGAGCTGGATACTCCCCGCGTATGTGCTGTGCTTGCGAGAGTGAGGGGGTGTCTCAGTCTTGCTGGTGGCTAAGGTCAGGGGCAAATGTGGTCAGTTTTGAGTGTCACTGGGCCTGGCATGGAGACCATCAGGACTGGGATTTTTAGGGAAGGTTGTGTGGAGAGAGCCTGATGTGGCTGCTGAGTACAGCACCCAGTGGAAGGGGGTCATGGGCATCTGAAGTTCACATGTGTTTCTGGGAGGCAAATACTGAAACCAGGGCCAGATGTATAGAGGAGACCTTCAAAGCAGCATCTCCACCAATGCGTACCTGTGGGAGCTCAGGGGGGACTGAAGGTGTCAGAGGGACGATCTACAGAATGATGTGCTTATTGGGAAAAAGTGAGTTATTGTCCCAGAGCCCTAGTGTTGGGCACTGAAGGGTACAGCCTCAGCCCCCATTTGTCGGTGCCTTGTCACAATCTAGAGACCCCCAAAGGGAATTAATGACAGGGTGGATGGGACCCTGCAAGCCAGGACCAGGACTGGATTACATCTCTGTGCCTTCCTGCCTGATGAGGCTGAGGGCCGAACATAATGAATAAAAAGGGACCTGAGGGTAGGACAGGCATCAGGGGAATTCCTCTGAGGTGTGCAGCTTTGGAGGAGGGTGGGTGTGGGATAGATGTGTGGGGCGGTGGGCTGTGGGCTCTCACACACAGAATGTTCATGTTTTTTTTTTTCCCCCTCTCTGCATGATAACAGGCCAGTGTGACCTTTGAGGACATTGCCATGCACTTCTCCTGGGAGGAATGGAGGCTGCTTGATGAGGCTCAAAGACACCTGTACCTCCATGTGATGCTGGAGAACTTCACACTTATATCCTCTCTGGGTAAGACCCACGGCCTCACCACCCCCACCCCACTTAGTATTCGGGTACAGACCATAGGCACTGTTTTCTGGGCAGTTGCTGTATTGCTAGGGCTGGTGTGTTTGCACTGCCCTCTTCCCTCCCTGCAGTCCCAGTCCTGAACCCTTTTAGGGAAGGATTCAAGGTCAGTACTATTGCATTAATGGATTCACCATGCCTGCCCTCTCAGTGTCTGGGTTAATGTGTCAAGATCCACATCACTTCTGTATCTCAGGGTTTGGTTCCCTTTTTAAAAAATAGGGATTTTTATTTATTTATGTTTTAGAGACATGGAAAGGGAAGGAGAACTAGAGGAAGAGAAACATCAGTGTGAGAGAGAAGTATTGATCTCTTTCCTCTTCAACATGCCCCAACCCAGGACCAAACTCACAACCCAGGCATGTGTCCTGACCAGCAATAAAACCTGCAGGCTTTCGCTTTGCTGGACAATACCCAAACCACTGAGCCGTAACAGTCACGGGTGATTCTTTCCTTTGCTGTCATTTCCTCCTGCCTACCAGTGCCAGGAGTTGCAGTTGTTGTCCTGGTCGTTACTCTACTGAACAGTGTGTAGTGTTTAAAGCTGTTTTTCTTTTTTTCTGTCTTGTTGAGATATAAACTTGTATATATTAAAGTATACAATGTCCTGATTTGTGTGTGTATGTATGTATATATATGTGTGTATATATGTGTGTGTGTATAGGTGTGTGTGTGTATGGTGGAATAATTATTGCAGTGAAGTTAATAAAACATCGATCACCATATAAAGTTACCTTATTATTTATTTTTTTTTAAATTTTTTTATTGATTATGCTGTTACAGTTGTTCTATTCCCCCCCTTCATTCCCCTCCACCCTACCTCCCCATCCCCATTACCCCCCTTTAGTTTATCACCATGTGTCTCAAGTTCTTTAGATTCTATATTTCCCATGCTATTCTTGCCCCCCCATCTATTTTCTATCAACTGTCTATGCTACTTATTTTCTGTACCTTCTCCCCCCTTCTCCTCCTCCCACTCCCCTGTTGCTAACCCTCCTTGAGATCTTCATTTCTATGTTTCCACTCCTGATCTAGCTGTCCTTTTAGTTTGCTTTTGTTTTAGGTGTGGTTGTTAATAACTGTGAGTTTGTTGTCCTTCCACTGTTCATGTTTCTTTAACTTCTTTTTCTTAGATAAGTCCCTTTAACATTTCATATAATAAGGGCTTGGTGATGATGAACTCCTTGAATTTGATCTTATCTGAGAAGCACTTTATCTGTCCTTCCATTCTAAATGAAAGTTTTGCTGGATAGAGCAATCTTGGTTGTAGGTCTTTGGATTTCATGACTTGGAATACCTCTTTCCAGCCCCTTCTTGCCTGTAAGGTCTCTTTTGAGAAATCAGCTGACAGTCTGATGGGAACTCCTTTATAGGTGACTGTCCCCTTAGCTCTTGCTGCTTCTAGGATTCTCTCCTTCATTTTAATTTTGGCTAATGTAATTATGATGTGCTTTGGTGTGTTTCTTCTTGGGTCCAACTTCTTTGGGACTCTCTGAGCTTCCTGGATTTCCTGGAAGTCTATTTCCTTTGCCAGATTGGGGAAATTCTCCTTTATTATTTGTTCAAATAAGTTTTCCACTGGTGGCTGTTCCTTTCCCCCTTCTGGTACCCCTATAATTAGGATGTTGGAGCGTTTAAAGATGTCCTGGAGATTCCTAAGACTCTCCTCATTTCTTTGAATTCTTGCTTCTTGACTCTTTTCTCTTTGGCCATTATTTGCTTTCTTCTGGTCCACTCCATTGATTTGAGTCCCAGTTTCCTTTTCATCGCTATTGGTTTCCTATGTAATTCCATTCATTTCAATTAGTTTCGCCTTCATATATTTGTCTAATTTGTGGCTATAATCAACCAGTTCTGTGAGGATCCTGATGACCAGTGTTTTAAACTGTGCGTCTGAGAGTTTTGCTATTTCTTCATCACTTAGATTTATAGGTTCCGGGGCTTTGAGCTCGTCTTGAGCCATTTTTGGTCTGTTCGTGCCCTTTAAGTGTGAGGAGCGGAGCCTTGGACTCCCAGGTCGCTGGGTTGTGATGCTGTATGTGGGGGCGTGGTCAGAGCGGGGAAATGGCGGCACCCTCTGCTGTTTTGCACCGCTGGGTAGGAGAGGAGCCTTAGGTGGTTCACCAGGGCCGGGCCACTCAGAGTCGCTGGGTTATGACGCTGTATGTGGAGGTGGGGTCAGAGCAGGGAAATGGTGGCACCCTCCCTGCCGCTTGCCACGGGGACCCGCGCTCCCGGGTCCAATCACCCACTCCCTCGCTTGTCTATCCGTGCACAAATGCGCGACCACAGTCAACCCGCAGCCCTGCTGTCCTCGTTGCCTCCCCGCGGTCACTTGCTTGGTCGCTCGCTCGGTCACTCACTAGGTCCAACCCTGCGCCTGGATTCCGCACGCCTGAGTCCCTCTGACCGAGCCCTCCTGTGCAACCCCGCTCCACCAGCTGCTTGTTTCGCCCCTTACCAGTCAGACTGAAGAATTTGTTGTTAACAGACTTCCGAAAAGTTCAATTTTCTGTGTTCTGGTTGTGTTTTCTGTTGCTAATATTTAGTTGTCTCTAAACTCGGTTGTGTGAGAAGGCACGAATATCCACCTATGCCTCCATCTTGGTGGAAGTCCAGATTCAATCTATTTATTATTTTTTAACCCTCCATGAGATCTTCATTTCTATGGTTCTGCTCCTGATCTAGCTGTCCTCTTAGTTTGCTTTTGTTTTAGGTGTGGTTGTTAGTAACTGTGAGTTTGCTGTCCTTCCACTGTTCATGTTTCTTTAACTTCTTTTTCTTAGATAAGTCCCTTTAACATTTCATATAATAAGGGCTTGGTGATGATGAACTCCTTGAACTTGATCTTACCTGAGAAGCACTTTATCTGCCCTTCCATTCTAAATGAAAGTTTTGTTGGATAGAGCAATCTCAGATGTACGTCTTTGGTTTTCATGACTTGGAATACTTCTTTCCAGCCCCTTCTTGCCTGTAAGGTCTCTTTTGAGAAATCAGCTGACAGTCTGATGGGGACTCCTTTGTAGGTGACTGTCCCCTTATCTCTTGCTGCTTCTAGGATTCTCTCCTTCATTTTAATCTTGGCTAATGTAATTATGATGTACCTTGGTGTATTTCTTCTTGGGTCCAACTTCTTTGGGACTCTCTGAGCTTCCTGGATTACCTGGAAGTCTCTTGCCTTTGCCCGACTGCCAGACTGGGGAAATTCTCCTTTATTATTTGTTCAAATAAGTTTTCCAACCATGACTGTTCCTCTTCTCCTTCTGGTACCCCTATAATTTGGATGTCGGAACGTCTAAAGATGTCCTGGAAGTTCCTAAGACTCTCCTCATTTTTTTGAATTTTGTTCATATTTTTCTGCTTGGTCATGTTTTTCTCCTTCTGGTCCACTCCCTTGAGTCCCAGTTTTCTTTCCATCACTATTGGCTCCCTGTGCATTTCCTCTCATTTCACTTAGTTTAGCCTTCATTTGTTCCTCTAATTTTTGACTAAAATCAACCAGTTCTGTGAGCATCCTGATCACCAGTGTTTTGAACTGTACATCTGAAAGTTTGGCTATTTCTTGGTCACTTAGAGTTATTGGCTCTGGAGCTTTGAGTTCTTCTTGAGCCATGTTTTGGTCTTTTTGTCCCATTACATATGAGGAGTGGAGCCTTAGGTGTTCACCAGGGTGGGGCCAACCAGGTAGCTGGTTTGTGATGCTGTATGTGGGGGCAGGGTCAGAGAGGGACAGTAGCTCTCTCCTCTGCTGCTTCCCGCCACTGGGGCCTGCATGGTCCATCTCACTGCTCGCTTCTTCACCAGTTTATCTGCGCTCGAATGTGTGACTGCAGTCTGCCCTCAGTGGGTCCGCCCGCTTCTCCACACCTGGGATTTGCCCACGGCTGCTGGCGCACCTGGGTGGTGCGCCTGGGTCAGTCCGGTGAATCTTTCCTGCCCAACCCTGCTCTGCTGCTGGCTCTACCCCTCTTACCAGTTTGGCTGAAGGGTTCGTTGTTGTCAGACTTCCATATAGTTCAATTTTGTGTGGTTTGGCTGCGTTTTTGTTGCTAAAACCTTGTTGTTTTTAAACTTGGTTGTGCGAGAAGGCACAGTGTGTCCACCTACGCCTCCATCTTGGCGGAAGTCTGATTTTTTAGTTTTTTATTGAGATATTTTGTTAGTGCATAGATCAACTGATTTTTGTATGTGGATTATGAGTTCTGCAAATTTGCTGGGCTTGTGTATTCATTCTGTCAGATTTTTGAGCAGATTTTGTTTATATAAGATCATATCATCTACAAACACATAAAGTTTTACTATTTAATTAGGATCTTTTTTATTCTTTTTTGTGCCTTACTGTTCAGGCTAAAACTTTCACTACTATTTTGACAAGCCATGATGACGGTGCACATCCTTCACTTGTTCCTGATCTTACAGAAGAGAATTTAACTTGTCACTGTTATATGTTCTGGTAGCTGTGGGTTATCATATATGGCCTTTTTGATATTGAAATATATACCTTCACCTAATTTTTTAATTTAATGATTAGTTTAGAGACAGAGAATGAGAGTAAGAAGGAGAGAGAGAGAGATCAGTTTATTGTTCCACTTACTTATGTATTCATTGGTTGTTTCTTATATGTACCCTGACCAATAAGCAAACCCCTAACCTTGGTGCATCGGGATGATATTCTAACCATCTGAGCTGCCGGCCAAAACCATATTACTTTTTTATTTGTGTAGTTATATTTTTTGCTCCACTGTGCTCCAGTAGTATCTTAATTGTACTGTTGAGCCCTTCAAGAACCAGTTTTGTTTGTGGATAGCTGTCTTAATGTTTTGTTGTAGGTAACAAAAGCAGTTGGTTTTTGTTGTTGCTTTACTATCATGCTTACATGACTCACCTACATCTCTTTTCTGGGTCTGTTATGTGTGGCATTGTTTTGGGAAAGTGCTGGCCATTCAGTGTTCCTGCTTTTTCCTTTTGTCTTTCATGTTCTGTGTAGCTTTCTTGCTAGGACTTTCTGCACATATCAGAGGATGGATCTCTCCAGCTGTGGCAACGTGGGCTGCCATGGGGTGTGGTTCTGGTGAGTGACAGCTGTGGAGATTGTGAAGTCAGGACCTCGTTCAGATCATACCAGGAACCTGACTTTGTTCATTCAGAGTTTTAGTGTCATTACTAGTAGTCACACCAATTTCTACTCTTCATTTTCCAGCTTTCACAACATGCTTACTTGTCAGTTCTACTACTGGTCACTTCCATTGTGGTTTCCAGCCCCAGAGATATTTCCACCTCCGCTGATTCCACATTTCACCTGTTCTCTCACCCCTCTGTCTGTAGTACCCTTGAACATTGGTGCTCAGGTATTGTGCTCTGAGTTGTTCACAAATCTATGTATTGACCTTGTACAGCAGCTAATATCTTGCAGTTGGACGGTAATGGGCTTGTATATGTGCTTCTACCCAGCCTAATGTCAACAGCAGAGAGGGATATACAGGAAGCTGTTGGCAGAAGAAATGCATTGTAAGCCCTGCCTCTTTTCCGTGTGTCCTGACCTATCCACGTATCCTTCCAGTGGCCTGGTTTCCATTCTTTTGTGACTTACAAGTCCAGTACCATACAGCAAGGAGCCAGTTCTTCAAATGAACATTCTTGTTTTGAAAAGGATTTTATGTATTTGTGCCTACATGTGACATGTGAATATGTGTGATATGGTTCTCTCCTTTCTATAGTCAACAGGTACTTCTGCAGCATTTATTTATTTATTTTGTCCAGGTTGCTGCTGTGGAGCAGAGGACATGGAGGCACCCATTGAAGAGAACATTTGTGTACAAGTGTCACAGGCAAGGAATGCCAAGGCAGCTTCGTCTTCCCAGAAGAGCCACCCCTGTGAGAGTTGTGGGCCTGTGCTGAGAGACATTTTTACCTTGGTTGAGCTTCAGGGAACACAACAGAGCCCACCACTGCTGAGGTGTGGGGCATGTGCAAAACGATTTTATTTTAGTGCAAAGTGTCACCAGCACCAGGATGTGCACATGCGACAGAAACCCTTCAGTAGTGTGGACAGGGCCTCATTTGTGAAGAGCTGCGGAATCCACGTGTCAGGGAAGCCCTTCACCTCTGGCAAGGTTTCGAAGGACTTTCTGGCCAGCTCGGGACATCAGCAGCAACAGGACACTCATAAAGCGCAGGAGCCAAACACAGGCACCCAGTGGGAAACAGCGTTACAAAGCACAAAAAGTCATTACACTTTGGAAGAAGGCAAGAAAGCCTTTAGCCCCCAACACACACTTGTGGACCAGGGTGTTCATACTGGGAGGCAGAGTTTTGTGTGCAATGAATGTGGAAAAACATTCAGGTACAAATCCTCATTTGTTACTCACTGCAGAGGCCACACTGGAAAAAGTTTCCGTGTGTGTGGTGAAAGTGGAAAATCATTTAGTGAAACCTCAACCTTCCAACGGCATCAAAAAATTCATACTGGAGCAAGGCAGTTCGAGTGCAGCAAATGTGGAAAATCCTTAAGCCTCAAATCTGTCATTCATTCATGGAAACGGCACAGTGGACAAGCAAATTACATGTGCAGTGAATGTGTACAATCTTTTAGTCATAATCAATATCAGAGAGTTCACACTGGAGGAAAGCCTTACAAGTGTAATGACTGCGAAAAATCTTTTACCTCTGTTGCTGCTCTCAGTTACCATCAGAGAGTTCACACTGGAGAAAGGCCTTATGGGTGTAGTGAATGTGGAAAGTCTTTTATCACTTTTATTGCCCTTTGTTATCATCAGAAAGTTCACACTGGAGAAAGGCATTATGACTGCAGTGAGTGTGGGAAATCTTTTAACAATAGATGGAAACTTGTTCGACACCAGAAAACTCACACAGGAGAAAAGCCTTATGTATGCAGTATATGTGGCAAATCTTTTACTAATAGCTTTACCCTTAAGTATCATGAGCAAGGCCACCTAGGAAAAAGGCCTTACGAGTGCAGCGAATGTCAGAAATCCTTTACCACTAGCTCTGCCCTTCGATATCATCATAGTGTTCACTCGGGAAAAAGACCTTATGAATGCAATGAATGTGGGAAATCTTTTATCTCGCGATCTACCTTTCAATATCATCTGAAAACACATTCAGGAGAAAAGCCTTATAAGTGCAGTGAATGTGGGAAATCTTTTACCAGGAACTATGGTCTTCATTGTCATCAGAGTGTTCACACTGGAGAAAAGCCTTATGAGTGCAGTGAATGTGGGAAATCTTTTACCAGGATCAATGGTCTTCATTGTCATCAGAGAATTCACACTGGAGAAAGACCTTATGAGTGCAGTGAATGTGGAAAGTCTTTTACCACAAGCAGTAGCCTTGCAAAACATCGGAGAGTTCATCCTGGAGGAAGGCCGTTTGAGTGCAGTGAATGTGAGAAATCTTTTGCCAGTAGTGATACCTTCTGTTCTCATGAGATGGTTCACAAAAGAGAAAAGCCTTTTAAGTGCAGTCAGTGTGGAAAATCGTTTTCCTCTGGTTCCACTCTCCGTTATCATCAGAGAGTTCACACAGGAGAAAGGCCTTATGAGTGCAGTGAATGTGGGAAATTTTTCATTTATAGTTCCAAACTTCGTTATCATCAGCGACTTCACACTGGTGAAAGGCCTTATAAGTGCGGTGAATGTGGAAAATCTTTTATCTATAGTTCCAAACTTCGTTGTCATCAGCGACTTCACACAGGAGAAAGGCCTTATGAGTGCAGTGAATGTGGGAAATCTTTTATCTATAGTTCCCTATTGCGTTATCATCAGCGAGTTCACACTGGTGAAAGACCTTATGAGTGCAGTGAATGTGGGAAAACTTTTATCTCTAGTTCCAAACTTCGTTATCATCAGAGAGTTCACACTAGGAAAAAGCCTTAAATGTGTTGGTAATGTTCACTTTTCTGTTCAATGTAACAACCGTGGAGGAAGCTCTGAGGAGCCATCTGTCTAAAAAGAAACTTACATAAGCACAGTGTGGTGATTCCCCAGAATTTTTGTTTATATGAGAAGCGTGTGTAAATATGTTGCATTTTCTAACTTACCCATGTTTTCTGACTTGCTCTTTCGAGTTTTATGTTACAGCTACGTAACATACGTTCTGCTACGTTCTGTGGCTATAGTCCTTTCATTTTTACCACAGTGCACGTCCACAGAGTTTACATCACTCAACACCCTAATGTGCTCAGGGAAGCTGACCTCTGGTTTCATGTATCTGGTTGGAAATAGAAATGCCTGGAGCCCTTAGCAGGTCAATTTCCCATTATGAATAATTTGGTCATGGACCTTGGTCCATATGCTGACCTCGAAAATATGATTTGTGCACTCAGTTTGCATAGAAATGACACCCTGTTTCAGGGATGTGTTCATCTCATGTAACACTTATGATGAGGTTTTTCAGCTTCCAGATCATGATTTTGGGAAGTGCCTGCTGCACATTGCTTTGGCTTGTACAATAATTGAGGCCTTAATCTTTTAATTCTTTTTAATCTTGGTTATTTTTATTGTACAAGTTAGTTTATAAACTGATTCGGGCTCTGCAAGCATGAGGACAACTTTTTTAAATTTACTTTTTAGAGAAGAAGGAAGGGGAAATAATGGGAGAAAAATGTCAGTAGGAGAGAGAAACATTGATTAGTTGCCTTATAAGCACCCCAGACCAAACCCACAATTCAAACCTATGCTCTGACCAAAAAAGGAAGCAGCAACCTTTCAATTTGCATCACAACAACCAACCAACTAAGCCACACTGGTCAGAACATGGGGTGAACACCTTTTTAAGGGTCTCAGACTTTCTCTGCTTCTGGAGTGACTATGATGGCAGAAAGTAACTTTCCTGTTTTGACCAAATTTGCATGGCTGTCCACAGATCTCTAGAAAGGACTGAAGGGCTTTCTGGCCCTCATGTAGATGCCATGTACTTTAGGAGTCTTAGAGATGACCCTGAGGAGAAGACAGGTATGAGAACCTCAAGTACTTACGAAAGTAGCATGATTTCTTTTTCCCCACAGCAGATATCACAGATGATACCACCACTGTCGATGGGATATTTTTAGGTCTACAGAGTCATGTCCCCTGACATCCAAAATTTTCTGTGCTAGGGGCATTTGTTGAAAGACTGGGTACAGGGACAACAATAGTTAGTGCAGAAACAGTGGCCTATCAGGGACTGGGGGAGACGTCAGCCACCTAGATGGAATGTGCATCCAGAAATGTTTCTGTGACTGTGACTGCGTGATGAGTGTACACAGATCTGAGGAACCCTAGGTATGGTTATCATGTGTAGTTGAGGTCATTGTCAGAAAAAAATAAAAATAATCAAAAGGCTTCCTGGGTTCCTGTACCCTGACAGTGATGTCTGCCTCAAAGTCATTACTACACATCAGGAAAGAATAAGAGGGAGACTTATACCCCAGACATGTGGTTCTTGACACAGGCAGCATTCTTGTTGACTCAGGTGAAAATGTTCATTACTCATCATATTTGATGCCATCGAGGCAATACTGAGCCCTAGAGGGCTGAAGAAAGAGATGGTGAAGTCAATATAGGCTGGTCAATCTGATTTTCTGAAAAGATTTGGCCACTTAATCTTTTTTTTTTTTATTGATTATGCTGTTACAGTTGTTCTATTCCCCCTTTATTCCCCTCCACCCTACCCCTCATCCCCACCATTACCCCCCCTTTAGTTTATGACCATGTGTCTCAAGTCCTTTAGATTCTATATTTCCCATGCTATTCTTGCCCCCCCCAATCTATTTTCTATCTACTGTCTATGCTACTTATTTTCTGTACCTTCTCCCCTCTTCTCCTCCTCCCACTCCCCTGTTGCTAACCCTCCTTGAGATCTTCATTTCTATGTTTCCACTCCTGATCTAGCTGTCCTTTTAGTTTGCTTTCATTTTAGGTGTGGTTGTTAATAACTGTGAGTTTGTTGTCCTTTCACTGTTCATGTTTCTTTAACTTCTTTTTCTTACATAAGTCCCTTTAACATTTCATATAATAAGGGCTTGGTGATGATGAACTCCTTGAATTTGATCTTATCTGAGAAGCACTTTATCTGTCCTTCCATTCTAAATGAAAGTTTTGCTGGATAGAGCAATCTTGGATGTAGGTCTTTAGATTTCATGACTTGGAATACCTCTTCCCAGCCCCTTCTTGCCTGTAAGGTCTCTTTTGAGAAATCAGCTGACAGTCTGATGGGGACTCCTTTATAGGTGACTGTCCCCTTAGCTCTTGCTGCTTCTAGGATTCTCTCCTTCATTTGAATCTTGGCTAATGTAATTATGATGTGCCTTGGTGTGTTCCTTCTTGGGTCCAACTTCTTTGGGACTCTCTGAGCTTCCTAGATTTCCTGGAAGTCTATTTGCTTTGCCAGATTGGGGAAATTCTCCTTTATTATTTGTTCAAATAAGTTTTCCACTGGTGGCTGTTCCTTTCCCCCCTTCTGGTACCCCTATAATTCGGATGTTGGAGCGTTTAAAGATGTCCTGGAGGTTCCTAAGACTCTCCTCATTTCTCTGAATTCTTGCTTCTTGACTCTTTTCTGTTTGGCCATTATTTGCTTTCTTCTGGTCCACTCCATTGATTTGAGTCCCAGTTTCCTTTTCATTGCTATTGGTTTCCTGTGCAATTCCATTCATTTCAATTAGTTTCGCCTTCATATATTTGTCTAATTTGTCGGTATAATCAACTAGTTCTGTGAGGATCCTGATCACCAATGTTTTAAACTGTGCGTCTGTGAGTTTTGCTATTTCTTCATCGCTTAGATCTATTGGCTCTGGGGCTCTGAGATCCGCCTGCGCCATTCTTGGTCTGTTCGGGCCCTTTAAGTGAGAAGGGGCGCCTTGGATTCCCAGGCCGCTGGGTTGTGACGCTGTATGTGGGGGCGTGGCCAGAGCGGGGAAATGGCGACCCCCTCTGCCGCTTCTCACAGCTGGGTGCGGAGGGAGCAGTGCCTTAGGTGGTTCACCTGGGCCGGGCCACTCAGAGTCGCTGGGGTATGTGGAGGTGGGGTCAGAGCAGGGAAATGGCGGCGCCCTCCACTGCCGCTTGCCGTGGGGACTTGCCGGCCGGGTCCAACCGCCCACTCCCTCGCCTGTCCACCCGCGCACAAATGCTCGACCTCAGTCAACACGCAGCCCCGCTGCCCCGCTGTCTCCCCCGCGGTCGCTCGCTCGGTCGCTCACTAGGTCCAACCCTGCGCCTGGATTCCGCGCGTCTGACCGAGTCCTCCGGTGCAACCCTGCTTCACCAGCCGCTGGTTTCGCCCCTTACCAATCAGGCTGAAGAATTTGTTGTTAACGGACTTCCGAAAAGTTCAATTTTCCGTGTTCTGGCTGTGTTTTCTGTTGCTAATATTTAGTTTTCTCTAATCTTGGTTGTGTGAGAAGGCACGGCACATCCACCTATGCCTCCATCTTGGCGGAAGTCTGGCCACTTAATCTTGAGCCATGTTCAAAAACTTTATTACCAATTTGCATGTAGCTTTTTTGGACCATAAGACGCACCTAGGTTTTAGAGGGGGAAAATTTTTTGAAGCAAAAAATGTGGTAAAATATTTAATAACGTAAATAACATTTCACCAATGTAAATGTAAAGCTACGTTCAGACTGTAAGACACACTCCCATTTTTCTACCAAATTTGGGGAAAAGAAGTGCACTTTATAGTCCAAAAATACTGTACTACCTGCATATATTTGAAGTGTATGATTTGACCAGTTTCGACATAGGTATGAACCTGTGAAACCGTCATCATAGTCCTTATCTGTCCTTCATTGCTCACTAGCTACCTCTGAGGCCAAACCGGCCCCGCTAGGACAGAAGAGCTTGTTGAATCAGTGTAGAATTACCCCAGCTTAGTTTCTGAAAATAGTAGAAAATCTACATTTTTGTTTTCTTTGTAATCCTCACTCAAGGATATGTTTATTGATTTTAGAGAGAGAGAGAAACATATCTTTTGCCTCTGAGAAATGCCCTGGCCAGGGATGAAACCCACAACCTAGGTATGTGCCCTGACTGGGGATCCAATTCACAACCTATTTGTGTAAAGGACAACACTTCAAACAGACGAGCCACTTGTCCAGGGCCTTTTTGAAAAATTTTTATTTATTTTTAGAGTGAAAGGGAGAAAGAAAGGGAGACAAACATCTATTGATTGCCTCCGATGCGCCCCAACCGGGGACCTGTCCCGTAACCCAGGCATGGGCCCTGACTGGGAATCGAACTGGTGACCTTTTAGTTTGTGGGGCATGCCTAGCCCATTGAGCTACACCAGTTAAAGCAGCGATGCTGCCAAAGTCTAATCTAAAATGATAGTTCCTGATTGCATTTCCACCAGCATTTTATGAGAGCCTGCCTCTATTCTTTCATATTTTTGCCAGTACTTCATATAGTCTTTAAGCCCTTTCAGTACATGTAATGCTATCTGTGTGGTTCTAATTACATTTGTCCAAGGGTTTGTGATTTCTGAGCTTTTTTCATCTGCTTCTTTGTCACCTGTATAGCTTCTTTAGTACAATTTCTGTTTATATCACCCATCTTTTTCTCCTTTCTAATTTATGGCTATTTTCCTTCTCATTTGTGAATAATACCCTGAAACAACAAAGACATTAAAATTTTACTCATATAGCATCAGCATCATTTTTCTGTTCAGTGCATTGTTTCTAAATTTTCTTATTTCCCTCAAATTGTTTATGTCATGCAGAATGTCATGGCCACAGGTTTTACTCTGCATATTAACCATTTCCAACACATAAGTCCAGGGTTCTAGTAATACAATAAATCTAGACCTGCTTTGTATTGTTTGCCTATTCCCAAAGTGTAAATTCTCACACTATGAAAGTGACGTGCTCAGAGAAGGAGCTGAAAAATTCTGCTGTGTCCCATTGTGTTGAGCCAAAAGCTAAACCAACTGCCTGCAAGAGGAGACTTTGAAAAACGCCAGGCAGAGAACAGGTGGGGCTGCCAGCTGGCTGGAGTTTGCAGAGGCTCCATAGGCTGGAGACAAGAATCCAAACATGCCCCAATAGAGAGAGCTGTTTGAATATGTGAGGTCTTGGAGATGCTGAGGGGCCTCACTTACCTGTCGGTGCAGACATTCTTTGTTCTAAGTTGCTTCCTCTGACCCAAACCTGGTTTTTTTTTTAAGATTTAATTATTTTATTTTAGACAAGGGAAGGGAGGGAGAAAGAGAGGGAAACATCAGTGTATGGTTGCCTGGCCCACAACCCAGGCATGTGTCCTGACTGGGAATTGAACTGACAACGCTTTGGTTTGCAGGCCGGTGCCCAATCCACTGAGCCACGCCAGCCAGGGCCCATTCCTGTTTTTTAATTTATTTATTTTTATCCTTAACTGAGGACATTTTGTCAGTGATTTTTGAGAGAGACCCAGGAAGAGAGAGAAATATCAATGCAAGAAAAAAGCAGCTATTGGCTGCCGTGCATACACACCTGGACAGGATTGTATGTGTCAAGACAGAACCTAACCAACAACCCAGGCATGTGCCCTGACTGGGAATCAAACCCACAACCCTTTGGCTACATAAAGTCCAACCAACTAAGCCATACCAGCCAAGGTTCCACCCATACCTTCCAAGGAGTTCTCATCTTCTGAATACTCCAGGTGATTTTCTTTTCCTTTCTGTAATTGTTGGTCAGTCGCATGGAAGGTTTTACCTTCCATGCATTTCACCGCACTGCTCTGGGTCACTTTTCCAGATGCCCGGATCCCAGAAAGATGCTCTGGTCACTGGGGTCATTGCTAGTATCCCCTGTCCCCAGTGGGGCCTCTGAGGAGGACAGGCCCTAGAGCAGCTAATGGACGGATGAACCTCTGGGCACCCCAATGTCAGCTTGGTCCACACCAGGTCTCCTTGCCTTCTCATCCCTGAGGGGGAGTCCCTTTTTTTCCGTGGATGCAGATACTTCAAGTCACAGTGCCACAGTGTCCCCTTCAAGGGGACAACAAGGAAGAGGGCCAGCCAGGTGGTGCTTAGGGTGGTGAATGCTGGGACACAACAGTGAAAATCCAGAGACCCACTGTTTTTGTGACGAGGGCTGGCGCACCCTGCAAGCCCCAGTGGACACCTAAAGGGAGTCGCTCCCTCACAGAAGTGACTTAGGGAGAATATTCCTCCCTGAGTTTTTGCTTCTTTGGAGTTTAAGAAGCGGGGAAAAAAAGGGAGAAACACTGATGATTGCCTCTCCTTCCATTCTCCCAACCAGGGATCCACCTGCGACTGAGGCATGTGCCCTGTGGAAATCAAACCAGCAACCTTTCATTTTGCAGGCCAGAGCTCAGTTCACTGGGCCACAACAGTCAGGGCTCTCACCACTTTTTTTAAAAAATACTTTACTGTTATTCTACTACAGTTGTCCCAATTATTCCTCCTCCACCCAGCCCACGCTCTTACCACTCTTTTTTATGTGAAGCATAGCGCAGATCACATAGGGATGGGCAAAAGTCACATCCAGATTTTCAACAATTCAGTTTTCCAAAATATATTGTTAATGCACAAAATCTCAGTGCAGATTGATAAAATATCACTTTATTGTACTAAGATACAATATAGGAACATTTAAAACCCCACACATTCAGCAATCTGCATCTGCAGAAAGTTAAATGGACACTCTTTAAAACATTGTTTTTTCTCTAGGATGTACAATAATTAGTGATGCTTTTCACTTTTGATGTTTATAGTAATCCACTAATAAAAAATAGAAATTTGGACATTCTATACATTTTTTAAATTAAAATCACTTGCCCCGCTAAACCTTTGCAACCTCAGGTGGGAAATTCTGCAGCTGTAAGAGACTCCTATAAATCACATGTATCTCAGGTGCCCTGTTCATAGTCCCACAGCAGAAGGTGGAATTCCCCTTATTCTTCATCAACACCACCTTGATGGTGTCTCAGAATACTGATTCTTGCACCCTGCCTGCAAAGGGAATGGGTAGGTTTGGGTTTGGGGCTGAGAAGCCACATTTCTAATGAGCCCCTAGGTGCTGATGGACTGGTCTGTGCAGCCCCTGAGAAGATTCCTAGGGAAGGCCAGGCTGCTTCCCTTCTGCTCCAGTCCGTGGGGCTGCAGGTGTGCTCACTCGGAGGAGCAGCAGAGCTACGCTTCCTAGTGGACACCCTCAGAGTGTCTGCAGTGAGCCAAGCTGGCTAATGGTGACGAGGGCTTGAGGACCTCCATTGCCTGGGAGCCCTGTGAGGGCTCCAGACACTGAAGCCGCCTAGCAACCTGCTTCTTTGGCTTG